TGAAAGCAAAGATTCAGCAGGTTGGAGCTATACTCATTGGAATTTAAATTTTATTCATGGACCTGACTGAGAAATGTTGCACTGTAGAGGACATTGGTGAGGCCTTTTCTGGAGTACTGTGCCCAGTTCTGGTTGCCCTGCTATAGGAATGATATTATTAAATTGGAGAGGGTTCGGAAAAGATTTTCTAGGATGTTGCCACTGGAGCGTAGGAGGTTGAAGGGTGATCTTATGGAGGTTTATACAATCATGAGGGTCATAGATAAGGTGAATAACAAAGGTCTTTGCCCTACGGCTAGGGAGTTCAAGACTAGAGGGCACAACTTTACGGTGAGAGGAGAAAGATTTAGAACAGGACCTGCGGAGCAACTTTTTCCACACAGAGGGTTATTCATTCGTGGAATGAACCACCAAAGGAAGTGGTAGATGCAGGTACAGTTATAATGTTTAGAAGACATTTGGATTAGTACATGAATAAGAAATGTTTGGAGGGATATGAGCCAAGAGCAGGCAGGTGGGACTAGTTTAGTTTGGGATTATGGACAGTATGGACAAGTTGGACCGAAGGGTCTGTTTCTATGCTGTATGACTCTTGGAAATTAATAAAGTTCTTTTTCACCCCCTTCTCTTTCTCTGAATGCATTCACTCTGTTGGGGTATAGTTTCATAAGTTCTTGCCCATATTTCACATGTTGGAGTTAAGTGCCAATTATTCATTTAAATTGAGATGAATGTACAATAGATTATTAAATTTTGGGGAATACTGTAGCCAATTCAAACCAGCGTTAAGTAATCATGTATCCACATAGAGATGATTACGGCAATAGTTGCTGGATACAGGAGTGGAAGTTTTGTTGAAATGTTCGCTTTCTTAATTCTGGAGTAAGAAGTTAGATTATAATCTCCTCTGCTCTCCTAAATCGAGATTAATGAATATCAAGAGATGTTCCTACCCTGAGATCAAGGCTACACATTTGCTTAGCTTGCTAAAATATCAAGACAGGCACAGTCTTATGGAGTGTCACATTGGGCCTTCCTGCAATCAGGAATGAAACATCATCCAATAATGCCTTTGTGTTTACATCCAAATTCAGGAAATCAACTATTCCCTAGTGGTTTAAAAAAATATAGATTGCAAAAACTAACAGTCTAAGTGGTAAGGTATCACGTTCAAATGGGACAATAGTGGGCTTGCGAGTTAAGTGCGGGTGCTAAATCTTAGACTTTGGCCATACTTGTAATTCCCTCTACATTAATACCACCACACTAAAATTGTAACGTGTCAAAAATGTAACCCTTCCAATAGTTGATACCATTGTCTAATTATGGCACAATAAATACTAAATCAAATCCTCAGGCCTCTTTACATTACTCTCCAAAAGTGCTCTGAACTCAGTGAGCTCATATTTTAACATGGTATTGTGGGAAGACTGGTTTTATGTCAGAAGGGTTAAATAAGGCTTCTATCCTTGAGGCACTATTAACACTTCATAAATTCATACAGCCAGAAACGTCGTCTTTAATTAAATCGGCAGATGCCAAAATTAGAAACCATGCTGGGATGACTAATGGGCTAATGTAGCAGACAGACAAAATGGTAGTCAAAAAGTGTGATCGCACTTTGTTTGATAATCCAAATCAGGCAGGCATGTGACAATGCACAGAATTTATGGGATTATGCATTAGAGACATCACTTAGAATTTTGAATGAGTTACGACACTTTAAAAGCAGCAAGACAAAAAGTTATTTAGAAATTGGAGGTTCTTACCAAACAATGTGAAATTGCATTTGGATATGGCTTCAATTGTTAGTATCTTGCCACAAAAATGTAAACAGTTTAAGGGTTGAGGTACTATTGTTTTTTTTATTTTAAGGAAAAGCAGGAGGTATTTCTACCACAGAGTATCAGTTATAGTCATAGGGTCAGAACCATACAGCACAGAAACAGGCTCTTTGGTCCAAACAGTCCCATGAGATCATAATCCCAAATCAAAAACTAGTCCCACTTGCCTGTGCTCGGCCCATATTCCTCCAAACATTTAATCATTCACATACTTATCCAAATGTCTTTTAAACATTGTAGCTGTACCCACATCCACCACTTTTCCACATACAACCACTCTGTAAAAAAGTTGCCCCATATGATTTTTTAAAACTTTCTCCTCGCACCTTAAAAATATGCCCCAAGTCTTGAAATCCCCAATCCTAAGGTAAAGACACCTGCCATTCACCTTATCTATACCTCTCATGACTTTATAAACCTGTATAAGGTCACCCTTCAACCTCCAATGTTCCAGTGAAAAAGTCGCAGGCTATCCAGCCTTTCCTTATAACTCAAACCTCCATTCCTGGCGACATCCTGGTAAATTTCTTCTGAATCCTCTCCCGCTTAATAATATCCTTCCTATAACATGGCAACCAGAAATACACACAGTACTCCAGAAGAGGCCTCACCAACATCCTGTACAACTTCAATATGACGTCCCAACTTCTACACTCAAAGGTCTGAGTAATGAAGGCAAGTGTGCTAATTGCATTCTTAACCACCATCTACATGTGATGCAAACTTCAATGAATTACGTACCTAAACCCCTAGGTCCTACTTTTAGTTGTATAATTCTGATCCTTGTTTGTTTTACCAGAATGCAATAGTTCCTTAGATGCAAGTTGAGAAACGGAGACCACAAAAGACGAGGTAACTTATTATCTGTCGGATGTAATCCAAGTGATGAACTTCCTCTGAGGTGATCTTACACATTTGGCATAGCTTCAGCAGAAGAGACACAGAAAGCAAGGAAAGCTGCTCAGCAACTGTTTAGATAATTTCTCGGTAGTTTATGTGACTGTTATGTTGAACATAGCAGACAAGACTGAAAATGCACTAAACATCAGATGTGTCCTTTCTGGATGCAAGGATGTAAATTAAGATCATGAAAAATTGTTCAGGTAACTGCACAAGTTTGTTCTGATCGCAGGGACACAGAAGAACCCTATTTGCAAAACACTATACACATCAAACACTTTGCTTAAGGCCCACGGTAGTAAAAGTCCATTATAGTTTTAGAAGATAAACTATATATTACGATATTGAACAGGTGTTTAAGAATAAGAGGTCTCCATTTCAATACAAAGATGAGAAAATGTTTTTTATTTCAGATGGTTGTTAGAGTTTGGAGTTTATCCCCCCAAGGTGGTAGTGGAGGCTGGGACTTTTAGTTTATTCATAGCCAAGTTAGATGGATTTTCTGATAAACAAGGGAGCCAAGGGTCATGGGATGCAGGAAGGAAAATGGAGCTGAGACCAGAATCAGATCAGCTATGATTTACTGAATGGTAGAATAGGTTCGAAGGGCCAAATGGCCAATCTTGCTCTCAAGTCCTATATCCCTAAATCAGTGTCTCAGCTTTTTCAATCCATCTCATTATTGGATAGGAGTTGTTACATGAATCATATCCCAGTGTGATCCTTGTTTTGAATGTGATGTGTTCCTGCTCTGTGGTACCACCTTGGTTAATAATATCAGGGACTGGTGGTGGAAGAGGTGGGGAAACATCAACACCTTCTCTACATTGTAAATACACCTCTCATTTCCAATTAAATGACATGTTAGGATCAGTCTTTGAAAGCAATATTCATATACATTGTGAAATTTAGATCATACAGCAATCCTTTTCTATTAGTTACGTTTATGTTAAGCAAGCTTTCTAGTATGGTTACAGAAGGACTAACAGGACCATTGCTAGTCACCATAAATACATATTGACAACAATCTTAAATTATAGTTATCTAACATACTATCAACTTTAAAAATGAGAAAGTAGGAGTATAAAAGTAGGGAAGTTTTACTAAAACTATACAAGGCACTAGTCACACCACAGCTGGAATACTGTAAGCAGCTCTGGGCCCTTTATCTAGGGAAAGATGTACTGACATTGGAGGCAGTGCAGAGACATTTAACTTAGTTGATGCCAGATATGGAGAGACTATTTGATTTTTCAACCACATTACCATGGGTTTGGAGTCACATGCAAACCAGACCAGGTAAGGATAGCAGTTTCCTCTCCTAAAGGACATTAGATGGGTTTTTCCAACAATCAACAACAATAACAATCCTATGAGGAAAGGTGGAGTAGGTTGGGTCTGTAATCAATGGAATGTAGAATAATTACATGTGATCATATTGAAACATGATTCTTAGGGGACTTAACAGGGTAGATGTGGAGAAGTTATTTCCTCTTGTGGGAGTCTAGGACCAGAGGGCATAACCTCAGAATAATGGGTCATATATTTAAGAAAGACATGAGGAGGAATTTCTTCTCTCAGAGGATAGCAAATGTGTGGAGTTCTTTCTGTACAGGACTCTCAAGGCTGTCATTAATTATATTTAAGGCTTTTTATTAACCGGTGCCTATGGGACCAAAAGTGAGCTGGTTGATCAAGAGGTCCATATAATCGATGCAAAAACACACACTAAGTAATACAAAGGTAATGAAAGGGGTATACACATCACTGTTACACTTTATTTACAGCATAAATCACTTAAATAATAACACAACTTTGTTTTAAATAAAACTTACCAGCAGAGAGCCTTCTCACTCGCACCCTCAATTGACTACTTGGACATCACAATACAGTAAACTTCCAGTATTTCAGGTAAATAATTTTTGTCTGTTATCAAGAGCGCCTGTTCATAGGTGCCGGTTACAACAAAGTTTGCTGTAGATTTCTAATCAGTAAGGGAATCAAGAGTTATAGCGAAAAGGCAGGAAAGTGGAGATGAGGGTTATCAGATCAGCCATGATGTCATTAAATAGCACAGCAGACTCAATGGGCTAAATGGCCTACTTCTGCTTCTACATCTTCTGGTCTTAGTTAAAATGTAGCTGTAGAGCTTGTCCCACAGAATAATTAAAACAAATTTTTGATGATACAAAATTGAGCGATAGTTGCTCAAGATAGTTAGGAAAAGGTACCAAAAATAGCAATGTGTCATATTACCTTGATCCATTGCTAATGAGCACACTCTCTCTTATTGTTAATGTGCAGTAATACCAAACCAGCAGGAAATTAAAGATTTCATCAATTACCCTGTTAACAAAAACAAATAACCTTTATTAGAAATGGAGTAACTGAACCAAGATGGGACTTGTAACAGTAGAGTTCCTTACTGATGAAGTCTGTACAATCAAACTTGCTTTTTTATTTGAAATAATTGAATAATTCTGCGGTCTTTACTGACACAGGTAGTTGTAATTATCCATTTTTGCCTTTCATTCAGCAAATTCTCCCTATTTCCAATGGAATACACACTACCCAACTGGATTAGCTTCATGCAGTGTGACCAACATTCTCTCTAATTTTTTTGTTTGAATATGTGGTTGATTTCCTTATATTATACAATCCCTTTAAACTTATTTTTGTATGGCCACACGTGTAGTAATTTAAAGCCATTAATTTGTGCATGGCTTGCGTGGGGACTTTCAGGTTGCCATGTAGAAGGAACATTAGGTAACAATTTACATAGCATTTTTAATGCTAATAATATAAAACTGGTACATCTTGAATTCAACACGTCCTACTTTCATCTGATACATTTATAAAATATGAAATTAGGCTAATAAATCAATTTAGCCATCAAGCATAGAATCAACATAGCAAGTTGTCAGCATAAATTAAATTCACGCTTAAGTTCTTAAAATAGTGCAAAAGAGATAATTAGCAAAACCAACACTTACTCTAAAAAAACAGCAATACTAGAGCTTGTGGTCCTCCACATTTTTGGGACATTGTGTTCTCATTTGTTAAGATAGAACCATGACATGTGATTAATTGGTCAGCCATCTCTTTGTTCCCCTTTATAACTTCCCGGTTTCTGAACATACGGGACATATACTTGTCTTCACTAAATTTTTTCTCTGCACACACCCATAGAAGCTCTTACAATCAGTTTGTACATTTCCCGGAAGTTTAATCTTGTACTCTATTTTCCCTCTCAATCAGTCCTTTTATCGTCCTTTGTGGAAATCTAAGCTGTGCTCAGCTCCAGGTTTGCCGCTTCTTTCTGGTCAATTCATATGCGCCTTCCTTACTAGCATTAATTTCCTTCGTTAGCCATGGTCAGTTTCTCCAGGCACTCTTTAAAACGTTTGCCATTGTCTATTCACCATCATCCCTTTAAGTAACATTCCCCAATTTATCATAGTCAGCTCACCCTTCATACTACTATAGTTTTCTTTATTTAAATTCAGGACCATAGTTTTGTAATCAACTTTATCACTCTCCATCTCAATAAGTCAGTCAATCATATTAGGATCACTCCTCCCCAAGGGGCCTTGCATGGCTAGATTCCCATATACACTCAATGAATTCCTCCTCCTCTATGGTATTGTTACCGATTTAACTTGCCCAATCTAGCTGCAGATTAAAGTCACAAGTTATAGATGTACCTTTATTACTTACATCTCTAATTCCCTGTTTAATGCTTTCCCTAAGATAACCACTATGATCTGGTGGATCCAAAGATGGGTCTGCAGGCATGTGTCCATAATCCCAACTATATCATATCCATTTATATCAATATGCATTACTAATTCAGCCACTTTACTGCAAATGCTCAATGCATTAAGACAGAAGGCTCCAAGGCTTGTCTTGTTAACATTCTTAGTTCTGTTTGCATTTTTTTTACACTGTGGCCCTGTTAGATTCTTGCTGCTGTATTCCCAGCCTATCACATTTTTAAAAATTTCCCATTCTGTCTTTTGTTTTTGCCCTTATTTCCCTCTCCTCGGTCTCCCTGCATAAGTTCTCACTCCCCCATCATTTTAGTTTAAACCCTCTCTGATCATGCTAGCAAATACTCTCCTTAAAACATCAGTTTTGGACCTGCCCAGGTGCAAACCATCCAGCTTGCACTGGTCTTACCTCCCCCAAGAAATCTGAAACCCTCCCCCTTGCAGCACCTTTTCATCCACATATTCACCTGATATATCCTGCTATTTCTACTGACTAGCATATGGCACAGGTTGTAATTCTGAGATCACTTCCTCTGAGGTCCTATTTGTTCCTAACTCCCTATATTCTGCTTTTAGGACCTCATCCCCTTTTCCACCTATGTCGTTGGTACTGAAGTGTACCAGGATCCTGACTCTTCACCTCCCAATCCAGAATATCCTGTAGCCACTCAGAATACCCTTGATCCTCCCACTTGGGAGGCAAAATACGATCTTGAAGTCTATTTCTGTGCCGCTGAATCCCCTATTACCAAAGCCTTCCCACACTCATTCTACCTCTCCTGTGCAGAGAAACCAATCGTGGTGCAATGAATTTGGCTGTTACAACTTTCCTCAGAGGCCATTCCCCTCAATAGTTATCCAAAGCAGTATATCTGCTTTGCAGAGGAATGGCCTTGGATGACTCTTGCGCAGTCCGCTTAGTTCTCTCTCTGCCTGGTGGTCACCTATTCCCTCCGGTGGTCCCTGAGTCTAAGCCTGCAAAGTGACCATCCCTCTGTACATGCTATCCATGATACTCTCAAACTTGCCAATGCTCCATAGTGACCCCAGCTCTGAAATTCGGGCTTCCAGGAGCTGCATTAGACATACTTCCTGCATACATTCTGATCCCAGGCACTTGAAAGCAGCATTATCCACTAGGAAAAAAAAGAGTGAAAACTAGATTGGTAATCACAAGGTCATTCTGCTTTTCCCAGTGTCTGGTGTACACAGTTAAATGTACTTGGTTTTCTCAATTGGCAGGGGTGGTGGAAAGAAATCATGTCCTGAATAGTTTCACATCTTAAACTCTAAAATGGTTAATGTAAAGATCATATCTTTGCTTTTTCTCCATAAGCAAAAAAGTGGAAATTTAAAAGAACTATTTTAAAAACTAAGGACCGCAGAAGAGACTGCGGCACTTTTTAAAAAGCTTGTTACCAACACTCATTATAAAGTGCTGTTTACACCGCTGCTTGCTTAAGCAGCGGGGCAAGATCTTACAAATGGATGCGTACAAAGTGAGAAAATGTTTGACAATGTGTACACATTCGGCAGCTAGTAGCTGATTTGTTTGTGGAACTGTGACCAGTTGTAGATAATAACAGCCTTTTGCCTGCCAACAACTATGTCCCAGGTTGCTGAATAGCTTTGTACGTGTGAACAATATAGCCAGAAACCTTTGGACTTCTGGGAGGGGAGATGGTCTCTCTCTCTCTCTCCCCGCAGTAAGAAACACCTAAAGCCTAAAAAAGCCAGCTTATTTTTGCTCACCAGTTGCCGTAAGCTGTGGCATTTAAATGAGTAGCTAAGAGACTTCGCAATTTGTGAACCAGTTGCTTTGTGCCTCCTGCAAGGAAGTGAAAGGTACCTGGAGAAGAGAGATCAATGAGCAGAAAGTCCTGACAAGCAAAAGGATCAGCTCAGCGAATCCTACGGAGAGGGACCATTGAACTGCCTTCCCAGTCCTTCCTCCATCATAACACCAATACCTTTGTTTATCGGTCTATCTGCATGCATATGCATGTAAACAGAGTTTCAAAGGGGTTCTGCGTTTCAACTTGTAGCATTATATGTCAACTGTTCACTGTTGTTTACCTGTAGCTAGAATCTATTTATTTGTAATAAATAGTAATTCTTGTTAAGTACAGAAATCTGGCCCATGCTTTCTGTTAACCTGGGTCTAAAAAGACAGGAAAGTTGGAAAATTTTGTGTATTTTGATAAAACTATTAACTTCTATGACAATTCTGAAAATAGCGGAGCTTGATTTCAGTGCACAACCCCAGTGAGGCATGAGACATTAAAGAGTAATGTACTTTTTCTTGGGAGTAGGTCTAAGGACAATAGTACCCCTCTGGTTCCTTGAAGTTGCAATTCTTCACAAATTATTGTGGTTGGTTGGCTCGCCCAGCTGGTTTGTTGTTCTGCAGATGTTTCATTACCATGCTGGGTAACATCATCAGTGCAGCCTCCAATGAAGCGCCGTTGTGTTTTCCCGCCTGATATTTAAACTCTGGAGCCCGTTGAGCTGGATTACCTCCCTTCTGGTTTTTCTTCGCAATGGAGTGTATATGGGGTCGAGTTCTATGTGTTTGTTGATGGCTTTCTTTGTGGAGTACCAGGCTTCTAGGAACTCCCGTGCCTGTCTCTGCTTTGCTTGTCCCAGGACTCCAGAGTTTAAATACCAGGCGGGAAAACACAACAGCGCTTCATCAGAGGCTGTACTGGTGATGTTACTCAGCAGGGTAATGAAACGTCTGCGGAACAATGAACCAACCACAACCCGACCTACAAATCTACTCTAAAATCTTCACAAATTAGCCTAGATAATTAGATTAATGCTTTCTATGTGCTAGATGTGCACTATTGTCAAGCCATTGTGTGCATTTTCTTCATGGAATCTGAATAGCAATCTGGTCATATTGCTCTTTCCATTGCTCAGAACACATCAGCAACGTTAGTTCATCATTGGCATCCTGGATTGTATCAGCTAACATGACATACAAGCTCCTAAGAAAATTAGGCATTTAGACTAAGCCATCCACTTTAAAAGGCAGTTAAAACAAAGGCGGCATAACTTTTTAACCCAAGCACAGACAGTAAACTGGTAGCTGTAAATTGATTGGCCATAAAATGATATGTCAAATTTTCCTTTTCATTGAATTCAATGCAAAGGCAAAATTGCTCAGTGTGAACAACATGTTGGCCATATTGCACTGATAGATTTTTGCCTAAGAAAATGTTCCATTGCCCCTGGAAATGTTAATTGATACTAAATTATGTAATCGACCTCCATGCATTGCAAAATTTGAATGAATCAATCATTTTAGACACTACCTAGAGGGCTGTTCTGTATAAACAATGCTCGTTGATATTTAAAAAAAACATTGCTTATATAACTACAAAGAACATTTAAAAAGAAAATAACAATAATTTCTCTGGAACAGGTTAAAAAATTCAATTATATACATAAAGCAAAAAACAAACATTTTGTAAACTCTCAATAAAAGAGATATGTTAATCTAAGGTTAACACCATGTTTCTGTAGACTGGATTGAAACTTTGTCACTTCAATATAGGAACTTTAGCTTGACTGCAGTGTAATTCTGTTTGGCAGTTTCAAGTATATGAAGCTTGAGCAGTCATAATACTGCTTCTTATAGATTGTAGGTTAGGGCAGAAATTGTGCTGATTCTTACTGTTGGTTGTAAATTGACTGGACATAAAACCAGGAGGTCTCGTTCAAAAAGGCCAGACAGTATGAAGAATGCAAGAAACTCAGCTAGTGCAATTTAGAATTCTCTTTTGCAGTTTGAGATAAAGCACGTTACTTGGAGCGTAAGTAAGGGAGTTCTACTTTGTGCACTGAGCTAATGCAAAAAGCTGATACTAGGTTAAAATTAAAAACTTCCAGTAGTATCAATACTTGGTTCTTCTCAATTGTATAAATGACTTGACAAAAGCAAAGCACAACGTTTATACAGAACAGCTTGCCATGACTGAATTGTTTCTAGCCCAAATTTCAATACCACATTAACTTTGACATTTAAAAATTCAATTTTACTGGACAAAACAAAACTTTTACCTATTCAGAAGAAACATGCAAGATATCGCACCAAGTAACAAGATGATGGTCAAATAGAGTTTGAATTTTTCATATTCATCTTTGTAGGCAAACCTGTGAAAACATTGTTGGAAACAATAGTTAAGCTTTTTAAACCCGAATGGAATGGAACAAAACATGGACTTTATCTGTCTTTTCAGTTTTAGAACTGTTCTTCAAATCCTAATTAGCAGACATAAGAGTAAATTCAACTTGTGTTTCTTAAAGTCAATGGTTTTAGATAGCTATTATACGAAACCCAAAAGCAACAAGGATGTTGGCAAAAAAATGAGCATGTATTAAATCCATGAGATTCATCAACAGTTGTATTTCAGATTTTTGGAGAATGGGAAATGCACACTTTATTCACAATTTACAGAAGGTTTTAGTGACATCTGTTCTCATATTTTGGGAAGATCTCATTCACTGACAACTTTGTACAGTAATAAAGCTTGGCTTTGATTTAACTGTAAACTGCATTGGGGCCACTGCTGACTGATTGTTCAGGTCTTTATTCGGTATTGATAACAAATGCATAATATAAACTTCAGACTATCCAGCTCATGACCAACCAGAATTCTGTAGGAACTGGAAGTTATGACAACTCTTTTCATTTTGAGAAAGCTGGTCAGTTCCAGTATTGCAATAATGCATTATTATTAGCTGTTTTTAAACAATAAAAGAATATATTGCAAGTCTGCAAAATTTTTTCTTGGGCTTCACACTGAAAATATGAAGTTATTACATCAGCTTGGCTATTGTGTTTGAACAAAGATAATTCATTCAGAGCAACCGCAAATGCAACTGATAACTGATTTCTTTAAACAAAAAGTTAGTCTGATGGTCACAGGGTCAGCTTGGTCCTCATTTGCAGTGGTTTTATGGTTGTACCCAGCTGCACCACAGCCCTTAACTGGCCAGCTACTTCTCCTCTCCCCTAAAGACAGCCACACCTTTTCTTGTGACAAGAAATGTAACTCCCAGTTAACTGGCATTTTTGATTGTTATCTAGCATGGGTGGTGCTAATCAAAGATATAAATGTACAATTTCTTCATGGAATAAACGGTGTGTGAATGAATATAATGTATGATGATAGTTAAGAAAGGAATGAGATGGCGATAGGTTATAGCATTAACACCTGGTTTCCACAGAGAACGATTAGGGTGTTCAATTCCCCTCTCTTCTCACTTTTCAATGTGAATTTTAGTAAGCGGAGCTAGACAATATTCCAACAGAAAAGAGGGTAGTGTGGACGACAGCAGTATAATGTCTCTCTGAGCTAGTGGGTAAACGGAGCTTTGTTAGTTATCTTTAAGTAACAAAGGCAAATTTACATCAAACTGAAGAATCGTAAATAAAATGTGAGCACCTTAAGCCTTACCATTGTTTTTACAAGGAAAACCAGGCCATTACTGACTGAACTTTATGGAATGGCATTATTTCAGGAACAATATCAAATACTGATGCACAGTGACAGCACAGTTACAGTGCAATTATTTTATTAACTGGAGCATGCTTCAGATGGTTGGCTTGAGGTATAGGAGAATGCTGTTGGGTATGTCCACCGGTAAACCAGGAAAGTAAATAAAATTTCTAACAAACCAGCCCATTTGAAACCAACTATTTGCCAGTTTGTATGACTGTGATTCTCCTGGCGTCAGCTCTGTGAAGTGTGCCAATGGTCTTCGTTTAGGAGAAAACCCCAGAGCTTGTTCGTAATAAAATGAAGGAGCCAATACTGTGGGAGAGTCCAGGAAGTTATGTACTGAACTTAATTCAGTGGCTTGCTTGATATTTTGGATGGCACATGGCACCTTCTGGGCATTTTTAATATATTAATATATTTTCTGGGCTTTCTGTACAATTTTATAAAATTTAAAGATGAACTGCAGGAAGCAAGTCAGACTACTGCTTCTCAACAAGAAGTGGTGCTTTTAGGAAAGAAATGACAAGTAGAAAGGAATGCAAAACATATATGAATTAACTTGGCAGTGTTATTTTAAAAGAAAATCCCAGCATCATAACTTGATGAGACAAGTGAAAACTAAAAAGATTGTTGAATGTGGCTAGTAATTATGGTGGTAAATTTACTAAATACTGTTTTAGTACAAATTAAAGGAATTCTTCAGAAGACGTAACAATTATAAATGTAGTACTTAAGCCAAGCATACCAAAGAGGTTCCAGGTTAAATTCCTGGTGTGTAGTAAGTAATCTGATCTCACTAGCACAGTAGTTCCAACACTATAAATGATCTTAGAAACCCTGGGGTCTGAGGGCATGAGAGAAAAAAGTCAGAATTCCTACTTATGATCACTTTACAGCTGGAAGGTGCAAGAATGCACACTGGGTAAGTTCAGATCTGAATTCAACTGTAATGTTCCCAAAAGTCAAACATTCTGCTGACATACTGTTAACTAATATGAAGAATAGCTTTTTGGGACAAAATGCCAAGTGTCTGCTGGCACCCATTGAATTATATTCTGGGTTAAGTTAGAACCTTCACAAAGGGAAGAAAGCAAATAAGAAAAAAAATTATTTTGCAAAGTCAGCTGATACGCAACGTAGCTTGTCATAAGCACTGAAAAATATGCTGGAATATATTTTGAAAACCAGACCAAAAAATAAACTGATATTACTTAGCTTGCTTGCTAAGAAGTGTCACATTCACATTTCCGAGCACCAAGTTCAAGTATAGCCTGAAGAAAGGAAAAGAAAATGTACAGAGTTTAACTATTTGGAATTTCTTTTTATTACATCTTACCATTCCCAGAGACAGCAAAATTGGAACTCCAATTTCCAATTTGTCACATATCATTTCTGTGATTCAGAAACCATGAAGTTATATAACTAGGACCGTAAGAAACAGCCCAGACCATCACGGAAGCCAACCTCCCATTCATGGACTCCGTTACACGGCCTGTTGCCAGGGAAAGGCTGCCAACGTCAAAGACCCATCACATCCTGGCCTTCTCCTACAACCTCTTCCGTCAGGCAGAAGATACAGAAGCTTGAACACACGTACCAGCAGGTTTAAGAACAGCTTCTTCCCTGCCATTGGACTCTCTAACTTCAAATAATGCTGATCTTCCTGATGTCAATCTTGCCTACCACATGCCCTGCGCAATGTGACTTGTATGCCTCTGTCTAGTGTTTTTTCACCCCATGATCTGTATGTCCTTGCTTACTATGATCTGCCTGTACTGCTCGTAAACAAAGCTGTTCACTGTACTTAGGTATATGTGCCAATAAATCAAAAGAACACTGTCTGACTGGACTCATCAATAAGACTTTTGGAAAAGGTTTCTGGAAGACCTTGTGATGGTGAGATTCATTCTGGAAAAGAACAACTTTGTAAGCAAAACTGAAACCTTTCATTCATTCCAACTGTGTCACTAAATGGAAAATGAGAATGAATGAATCAGAAATCCAGATTTTTAGTGAGTTTCCAATCTAATACAAATTTTGAGGGGTTATCAAGGTATTTTATAATATTATGGACCAGTCTAAATCTCCTGAAAGTATATTAAGAAGATAACCTAGACACCAACTTTTTCTTATTTTTAAAGGCAAGCGTAATGCTGTGTGTGTTCTGGATGCAATTTGATTGGGCAAACAATCAGGTTTGAAGCAAAACACACTTTATTCTTACACTATAGTTAAAATACAGACAAAATAAGAAAAAAGTAGCTTAACTGTAACTCTATTGAAATGTTTAACAAAATAATATTTATGTTAACTCTCACTGATTAACTGTTCCAAGATAGTAACATCTGATAAACACACCCTTGGTAGAGAAAAATTCAGTAAAATAAATTTGTCTCACATGCAACACTTCTCCAGTCCAGGAGAAAAGAACATTAAGATAAAATTCTGAGAGAGAGTAACGTATAGCTGCTTCCAAACTCCAACAGCTAATGAAAGTTAAACTAAAATCCTGATTATATGGGAGCTTGACCCCCCACCCCTTCTTGCTACTTCTATTGTAGCAATTTTTAAAAAAAGCCCAATGCCTCACAAACTCTTTATTGGATTGGAACAAACTGATCGCCATCTCCACCTCAACGTCTTTTCATAAGAAAAAGGACAAAAGCCATAGTATTGTCGCAATAAATCACAAAATAGGTGAAACAATTTAAAAAAAAACTTATTTTACTAGTTCCAACCATTTGCCTTTTTGAAGCATGACCTTGATAGATGCGCGTTCAAGTTGTTTTCCATTACTCTACGGCAAATAACACCAATGTGGGGTACAGAATAAGAAAGAAAGGGGAATGGCTGGCATATAGCATGTTGGCAATTCCTAACTGTAGGACAACTGAAATGCTCTGTTGCCATATCTCCAGACCACTAAGGAAACAAAAACTATGTGTTTTAAAGTGACTTTTTTTTTTACATTGCATAAGTTTTTTTTGTAAAACCGACTAGATTTTTTTCAAAAGTAAGGCGTTGTGTTTTCATTTAGGGGGGATCCTACATGTGGTCGGCTCTGGACAAGATTTTTTTCTTCAAGGAATTTATTGAAGTAGAGGTTTTTTTTAATTCAGTTAGTCAGCTAAGTGGTTGATTTTATTTAAGTTTTATATATATATTATATACACTTACCTTTTTCCATCTTAACATTATTTTCTGAGGGTAATGAAAAGTAATTTATTTTACATATCAGGTGTTTTGAAAGTTCCCTTTTTTAGGCTTAATGTTATTAAGGGCATATGAGGTACAGAGGGAGATGGCTAGTAGATTTTTAAAAAGTTACTACACAGCAGATTGATGGGTGACTGTCAGGAAAGGTAAGAAGATAGTTCAAAAGTCTCCGCTGGCTATTCCTCTATCAAATAGATAATCCGTTTTTGGAACTGTTGAAGGGATTGTCTCCCTGCGGAAAATGGAAGAGGCAGTCAGTTATTGGACACTTGGAATGATTCTTATGTTAAGCAGCGTTTGACAAAATTTAACACAATTATTGTTACAGGGGACTCACCTGTCAGCAGAATAGATTCTGTGGCAGGTAGGGTAAATTTAGGATGGTTTGTAGCTTTCATGGTGCTAGGATTAAATCAATGATTCAAGTATATTGTTAAAGTTGAGATTGAGAAGCTGGAAACTATTGAACACATTGGTAGGAATGATATTTTTATGGAAAAGATTAAAGCAGTACAGGGTGTCTTCAAGAGGTTAGGTAGAAGATTAAAAAAGTAGAACCTTAAAAGTAGTAATGTCTGATTTACTTCCAATGCCAAACTCAAACGAGGGAAGGAACAAAAGGATAAAGGAGACAAATCAATGGCTGAAGAGCTGGTGAACTGATCAGGGATTCAGGTTTTTGGATAATTGAATGTCTTTTGGAATAGGAAAGACCTTTTCAAACAGGATGGGTCTAACCTGACCTGGAAAGGGAGACTTTATACTGATAGAGAGGGATAGTGGAGGTATCCTAAGTAGCAGCGTAAACAGAAAGATTGACGGGGAAGGTTCTGAATGCAAAGACAGCATGTCAACTAGACAAGAAAGACAACAGAGAGTCAGAGTTGTGGTAACTCTCAAGAACTGCATTTATTTCAATGAAAGGGGTCTTACAAGTAAGGCTGATGAACCCAGGGCATGTTTAAGAACATGGGATTGAGACATCATAGCTGTTACAGAAACTTGGCTGAGAGATGGACAAGACTGGCAGCTCAATATTTTGGGTTTTATATGCTATAGAAAGGATAGGAAAGGAGGCAAGAAAGGAGGGGGTGTGGCTTTTTTTTATTAAGGAGCACATTGCTGCAGTAACTAGAAATTATATTTCTGAAAAATCATCTAGTCAAGACATATGGGTAGAAATTAAAAATATGAAAAGGGAAGATCACCTTGATGGGATCGTACTATAGGCCCCCAATAGTAGGAGGGAAATTGAGAAACAAATATGTAGGGAGATCTCAGATAGATGTAAGCATAATAAGGTTGTAATAATGAGAGATTTTAATTTTCCAAACGTTGACTGGAGCTACCATAGTATTAAGAATAAAAGAGAATCTTATTTTAGATATAGACAACTTGGTTCAATTGAATCTCCTAATCAATATAAAGAGTCTAGGGGCATTCTTAAGAAAGAAATCAGGAAGGGGATATGAGACTGCATTATCCTTAACCTTATCTGCTAATGCTAAGAGATTCTACAAATACATTAAGAGCAAGAGGCTAACTAGAAAGAGAGCAGGGCCTCTTAAAGATCAAGGAGGTTGTCTTTGTGTTGAACCCCAGGAGCTGTGTGAGATACTAAATGACTATTTCACATAATTTTTTACTGTGGAAAAAGAAACGGGGACTAGAGAATGCAGAGAAATAAACTTTAATGTTTTAACAACAGTTCATGTTACAGTAGTAGTAGTAGTTCGGGAGGGCTTAGAGAATATAAATGTGCATAAATCTCCAGGACCTGATCCAATGTGTCCCAGAACATTGTGAGAAGTAAGGGAGGAAATTGAGAGACCCCTTGCAGAAATATCTGTATAATCTATAACTACAGGGGAGGTGTCTGATGAAAGGAGGGTGGCTAATGTTGTACCTTTGTTTAAGTAAGGTTGTAAAGAGAAACTGGAGAACTACAGACGTGTGAGTCAGATGTCTGAGTTGTGGGCAAACTGTTGGAGGTGATTGTAAAGGATAGAATATATGGACATTTAGAGAGGCAAAAATTGATTAGGGATAGTCAGCATGATTTTGCGCAAGGAAAATCATGTCTCACAAACTTAATTTTTTTGACGAAATTATCAAAAAGATTGATGAGGACAGAGCAGTAGATGTTGCTTACTTGAACTTTAGTAAAGCCTTCGACAAGATTCTGCTTGTTAAACTAATTAGTAAAGAACATCTCATGGGATACAGTTGGGTTTGCCAACTGGATGCATAATTGGCTTAACAGGAGAAAGAGTGGTGGTAGAGGCTTGCTTTTTGCACTGAAGTCCTGTCACCAATGTTGTTCCACAGGGATTAGCACTGGGTCCTCTTTTGTTCGTCATTTAGCTTAATGATTTGGATAAGAATATAGAAGGCATTGTTAGTAATTTTGTGGACGACACCAAAATTGGTGGCACAGTAGACAGTGAAGAAGGTTTTCGAAGATTACAAAGGGATCTTGATCAAATGGGTCAATGGGCTGAAGAGTGGCAGATGGAGTTCAATTTGGATAAATGCGAGGCATTGCATTTTGGTACAACAAACGAGGATAGGGCTTATACAATTAATAGTAGGTCCTTGGGTAGTGTTGTAGAACAGAGGGGGCTAGAGGTGCAGGCAGGGTTGCAGGTACATAATTCTTTGAAGTTTGCATCACATATAGACAGGATGAATAAAAAGGCGTACGAGGTTGAAAGGCGACCTGATAGAAGTTTATTAAATAATGAGAAATATAGACAGAGTTAATGGTAGTTGTCTTTTCCCTAGGATGGGGTTTTCAAGTCTAGGGGGCAAATTTTTAAGGAGAGAGGAGAGAGATTTAAAAAGACATGAGGGGCATTTTTCTTTTTACACAAAGAGTAGTTCACGCATGGAATAAATTTCATGAGGATGTGGGTACAACTACAATGTTTAAAAGACATTTGGACAGGTACATGAATAGGAAAGGTTAGGAGGGATATGGGCCAGGAACAGGCAGATGGGACTAGTTTAGTTTGGGATTATGTTTGGCACGAACTAGTTGGACCGAAGGGTCTGTTTCCATGCTGTATGATTCTATCTGCAACAAATATTTAGTGACTGTAGTGGAGATAAGTGTGGATATGTGCACACATGGATATTGGTTTGAAACAGAAAGGGACTCGGTCCTGGTTTTCCTTACAGGCATGTCCATTTACCAAGCAGGTTCATGATACTGAAACAATATCTAGAGCTGTGGTCTTCAGTGTGCTGTGACAAGGTTAGGCAGTTGCCGCAAACTTTTCGGGAAGTAGCGCCGCTCTACCTGAGCATTGAGGCCAGGTCCTTGCTTTCTGATCTCCCCTGGAGACTCAGTATCTATCACTGAAGGCATTACCTACTGACCCCAGGCGCCCTGACAGCAGGGTGGGATGAATAGCTCTAAGCGTCTGGTGAACGGCGCCGTCACTCAGTGAGTCTGTCATGTTTGACCATTCCTGAGCTGAGCCAGTTAGATCGTGCACTGCTGCTACTGCGGGTTGTCAGGGCTGTGCCAGAGCAGAGCAGAGAACACTGTTTGTGCAGGAGCTGCAGTTTGCAGAGTTGGTCCTTTGTTGGAGCGGAGGGTCCAGGGATGATGGTTTTAACTTACTGCCTCACCAGAACCCTCCACGGTGTGGGGACAAGTGCTGCTGCTGGCGACTGGGCTTCCTAAGCATCATTGGGCCGCACAGCAACTGTTGCAAGGTGGGCATGTATTGTGAGAGGCAGCAGAATGGTGGATGGATGGATGGGGAGTGAGGAGGCTGCACGGGAGCCTCATTGATCACACCCAGTGCCTCCATTCCCACTTGGCATAGTAAATGCGACGTTTATGAGCAATCAATTCAGCTCAGAAAAATTGGGTGTGCCGTGAAATTGTTTCTCTTATCAAAATGTACCTTGATGCTGAAAAAAATTGGGAACCACTAACCTAGAGTATTTCTATGCCAGAGTTTATCTTGTCGACAAATTGCCTCCTATTACCCTCCATTTCTTCCCATTCAACTATCCTTCTTGTTCCCCCACGCTAGATAATAATGCTTTACTTTCCTTAAGTACTCATTCTGTTACCACTTCCCACACCCCCACCCCTTTATAATTCGGACCCTTCTCAAAAAAAAAACTAATCTTATATCCTCTCCAATTATCACCCTATTTTCTATCCCCATTTCCTTATTATGAAAAGAAAACAAAACTTTGCATTTATACCATGCCTTTCATACCCTCAGGACATTCCATAGAGTTTCATAGCTAATGAAATGTGTTTTAAAAGTTGCCAATATTGTAGATAAATGCAATAACCAATTTACATACAGTGAAGACTCACAACACTAAGATTAATGACCAAATAATCTACTTTAATATCATTGGCTGAAAGTTAACCTTCAGCCAGGCTATCTTTTGAACTACCTGGTTCTTCTTAAGTGTCATGGAATTTTCTACATTTACTCAAGGGCAATCAGAATGTGGGTTTAGTGTCTCATCACAGTCCCACTGTACTACACTGGCGTCAATCTAAATTCTTTTGAATGGCGCTGGAGCCCAGGGCATCCTGATGGGAGTACTACCACTGGCATCAAGGTCTTTCAATGTGTTGCCCCTCAACTCTGCATCCATCTGTTCCATAGTACCCTATTCTAAACCTCTCCTATCCAGCATCCACCCTTCTTATTTGGGCTGAAATGGCTTGAGCCAAAGTCATGAATTATATTTTCTGTGACTGTGAACTTAGGACATTCTTCTTCCTCAATCTATCTTTGGCAGTTGATAGGTTGGTCATGCCGATTTCCACCAAAGCATCTGCCACTGTTTTCCAGCAATCATGGCCAATCATGTTTCCAGTTTTTTTTATTATTATTATTCATTCACAGTATCTGGGCATCACAGGCCAGCGTTTATCTATCCGTAATTGCCATGAAGGCAGTCAAGAATTAACCACATTGCTGAGAGTCTGAAGTGACATGTAAGCCAGATCAGTTTTTATGACAATGTTAGTTAAACCAGCTCTTTATTCCAGATTTTATTTAATTCAAATTTCATGACCTGCCAAAGTGCAATTTAAAACATATTCCAAGAACATGAGCCTGGGGTTCTGGATTGTCAGTCCAGTGACATTACCACACCCCACCGTCTTCCTCGGTGCTATACCCTTCCTCTACATAACTGCAGTAGTGCATCTCCATCAGTAGATTCTCTTCCCTTCTCTGCACTGCAGTCCCTTGATCCTATCGTCTTTCTTATCTACAATTTACTGCTCGTTGATATCTGCAAGCTTCAGCTTTCACATGTATACAGATAAAATCCACTACCCTCTCAAGTAATTATTTCAACATAAATCAGGCAATTCAGAACTTCAACACTGACTAAATGCTAGCGATCAAAAACAGCACGTAGTGTGGATGGGAATCATCCACTGAACCACACTGAAACCACCCGCAACAGGTTCAGCTTGAAAGCTCATTCACCACTTGTCATATTCATTCTCCAAAAAAGTCTATGAATCCATTTGTCACCTTAGGGCTCTTGTGGTATTCCCACCTCTGGGCCAGAAGGGCTGGGTTCAAGTCCCAACTGCAACAGAGATGTGTCATAACATGTCTGCACAAGTTGATCAAAAATATTTACCTGTTGCCTCGTCCCAGCCTATTTCTACATTCATTTCCAACCCTATCATTCCCTCCTCTGTTTCTTTGATCCTGCCTTTTTCAGTATCAACATTTCCTTCACCCTTCTAGGAAATACAGAGCCATCGGCTCTCCAGTTCTACAATGTAGAAGTCTGTCCTTAAATATCTCTACCTCTAACTTCAAAAGGTTGGACTTCTTAAAAACCACATTTAGCCAAGCTTCCGGTCATCTCTTTGAATGCTTTCTTCCTTAGCTGTGGTCCTGTTTCCCTCCATATATTCATAAAATACACTGGGAAGTTGCTTTTGCTATGATCCCAGCAGATGTTATTACTCGACAAGTCAGATCCTAAACAGGAATCCAGCTTGATAGATCACGGTTTTATTTGTTTTGGTTTGAACAAAGTGGTTTTTCACTGAACTATAAATAATGCTGCAGATTTTGTTTAACAATGAAATTCAAGTTTATTACAAAAGGAACAAAGAGAAAATACAATAATCCAAACTATCTGCTTAGAATACAAATTCAATGATTTCAAACACATTAATAAAAATACCTTTGTAAGTTAGAAAAAAAAACAAAAAACAGCTGGTACAAACTAGCTGTTTCAAACACCTAGTATTCAATTTTTAAACTGGAACCATGATAACTTCTTCCTGGAGCTATGGTACACTTGAGCTTCAATGCACTTAGCTTAAGTAAACATTTCCTGGTTTTTAATCACACCCAAAACTAACACTAACTCTTCGCTCAAAAGGACCTAACTCACTCTCCTCTCTTCTCAGGAGCATTGCTCTATACAACCATCCTGTGCCAAGTTCTTCACAGGACTAAAAGACCATCTAAAGTGAAAAATGTAACAAACACTTTCTCTCAGTGAGCCAAGGAAACATCCAAGTTAAAAAATCAGATTTCAGAAAAACTTTTGAGGTTCCATTACTTACCATGCTTGGTCACGAACAATTTACAAATTAACGAAATTTCACCGATGCACAAAACCCATCCATTCTACAGCTATGCTTCAAAAAAAATGCTTTTACAAAATCACAATGGTTACAGAAAACGTACAAGTTAATAATTAAACTTCAGACACAGAAAAACACACCACTTACTGACAAGCCGAGAAATCCAAGCTTGCCGTAACTAATACTAAAACTTATACATATCCCCCTTGCAATTTACACACTTCATGTTAAAAGGTGCTACATATTTGCAAGCTGTCATTGAATTACATTTACAGTGAGAGTTGCCATCTTTAGAAAAAGTTCTTTTTGAAACAAAAAAATCAAACAGTCTGTCCGACTCTATGATTTGTTTCGATTTAACAAATCAAGGTTAAGTTTTGTGATCTAATATTTTTGTTGAAAGGAAGGAGGCAACGGAATCCAAAAAGTAAATCACAGGAGCATCACATTTGGAGCTGCAAAGTTCATTATTGGTTAACATGGTTAGCTGGGACCTGGACTTGGAGGCAGATAGAGGAGATAATAACCTCTCTACTCTCAGCTTATTTCATATATAGGATGCTTAAGCTAACCTTGGCAGCTCTGAGTGGGTGTCAGCTGTTCTATTAAAATGTCTTTATTTTGTCAAGATTTAGAAACTTGCTCAGAATATCTACCAAGGTTAGCTGTCGCGCAAAAAGAAAAACATTAACTCCTGTGTGCAATACCTGCTAACCATCTAGGTTTGTGATTCATAATTGGGCATGATGAGTTTTGCTCCACATTTCAGTTCAGTACATGATCTATGATTGATAGCTGCTCACACTGTCCCCAGAAAGGAACATGCTACACTACCAAACACTTGCATCTTTCACCTAACAGGACAAAATTTCAAACAATAAAAAAGCGCAGGTTCCTGTGTGAAGCCTCCCTCCCATGAAAAAGTATTGTTGACCCTTGCTAGCTTCATAAAAGCCATCATAATTTGTGAAGAAATAGATGGTAGTCCATACTGCCAATGTTACTCTTCTAACAACTTCACTTTTACAGAGGATTTTTAAATAAAGTGTAAATAAAACATACCCATTTTTCTTGGGCAAGAACGCTTCCATCTCAAAGAAAACATTGCGTCGCTCTTTGATATCATTATTAAATTTCTGTATAACTTCAGCTTCTTCTACATTAGCAGAATGTTTATACCTGTATGAAAAGCAATGTATAACATGTTGCACATCTTAGATCGTCACCCTGATAAAGAAATAGAAATAAGCTGTTACAACAGTGCATGGTTTCCAGCTATATTTAAAGGGTAAGGATGGCTTAAGACAAAAAGATCTGAAAGATTGTTAGTGACAAGGAACCATGTAAATGTAGCACCTAATGTTCAGTAGTGAAATGCAAATTCTTCTAGACCCCGTCAAATAGGTGAAATTATTGGACACAAAGGATTAGCTTTCCTTTTGTTTACCTCCCATTACAACAGTTTGGACCAATGCTTTTGTACAATATGATCAAAATAGCTTCAGCATGTTAGCATTCAGTGCACTTCATGTGCTGGGCAAAGAAGTGGCAGATGAAATTCAACCTACAAAAGTGTGAAGTGATTCATTTTGGAAGGTCGAATTTGAATGCAGAATACAGGGTTAATGGCAGGATTCTCAGCAGTGTGGAGGAACAGAGAGATCTTGGGGTCCACGTCCACAGATCCCTCAAAGTTGCGACCGAAGTTGATAGGGTTGTAAAGAAGGTGTATGGTGTGTTGGCTTGCATTGGCAGGGGAATTGAGTTTAAGAACCGTGAGGTTATGCTGCAGCTCTATAAAACTCTGGTTAGACCACACTTGGAATATTGTGTTCAGTTCTGGTCACCTCATTATAGGAAAGATGTGGAAGCTTTAGAGAGGGTGCAGAGGAGATTTACCAGGATGCTGCCTGGACTGGAGGGCAGGTCTTATGAGGGAAGGTTGAGGGAGATAGGGCTTTTTTCATTGCAGCGAAGAAGGATGAGAGGTGACTTCATAGAGGTGTACAAGATGATGAGAGGCATAGATAGAGTGGATAGTCAGAGACTTTTTTCCCAGGGCGGAAATGGTTATTATGAGGGGGCATAATTTTAAGGTGACTGGAGGAAGGTAAAGGGGAGATGTCATAAACAAATACTTTTAAAAGGCTCTGAAATTAAATTGACCTTAGACAGTAGCCAAATCAAAACAGCAAAAGCATAGTAACATTTATATATATTGTAAAATTTTGCATATTAAAAGATCAACATATATATGAACATCTGCCTTTAAAGTTTTTTGTTAAAATATTACTTCATATACTGACAGGTTTCAGCTAAACACTTCGGTTTCTTTAGTGCTAGAGGTTTAGTCAAATCACTCTTCCCAACACACTTGCAGTAAATCAGCCTCTCCCCTCCACCACTATATACACATTTCTCTTACCAGCCACACCCTCAACCTGAGCCACAAGTCCTCTTCCCAAGTCTCATCCTTCTCCCAGCAGCCCCCATTTACTCACTCAACAGCCTGGCCTTTCCAATAATCTTACAGGAACGTCAAACCATCCTGGTGCACCACAGGCCCCTTCATAGCCAGGCCACTACAATTGAAATAAAACACAGAATAATGCTTCACCTGAAGAAAGATCAAACCAGACTTGACACGTTAACTCAATTTGTCTCTCCACAGATACTGCCAGACCCCAGTTTTTCCAGCATTCTCTGCGCTTGTTTCAGATTTCCATCATCTGTAGTATTTTGTTTTCATTCACCACAAGTGAACTCCGGTGCCAATTCACTATCACTTGGTAAAATAAGCTATCCAATCAGGAACATGGAGTCTTTTTCAAAGCATGTCTCTGAATATGTGAGTTTTGTCCTGTTTTGCAAGAACTCTTCGAAATTGAACGATAAAGAACTCATTATAAACAAAAATGTACCAATGTGAATTAGTGGAAGCAAACTGTCAAATTACTTTCTGAACTTTTTTTAAACAACCCCAGAATATTACCTGGGTCTCTGGTTTAACAGTCCAGCAATAATACCATTAGGCCATCACCTCCCCAAATATACTTAACTATTTTCTCTTGCGTTGTAATGGGTACTACACTATATTTAATCTATAGCATAAAGCAACTCAACAATGAAAGCCCACAAACCGACAATCACCCTATGACAGCTACTGATGAACGTAAAAGGATCCCATAACTAAAACCAGCAAAACTGGGGCAATATTCAAATTACAATTCGAGGACTGCGGGTAACACTACATAGGCCAAACCAGAAGAAAACTGACTATATGGATACATGAACACCAACTAGCCACCAAGAGACATGACCAATTCTCACTTGTCTCACTACACACGGACAACGAGGGACACGAATTTGACTGGGACAACACATCCATAATCGCACAAGCCAAACAGAGACACACCAGGTAATTCCTGGAGGCCTGGTATTCCAACCGGAACTCCATCAACAAACACACTGTACACAGGGTTTAGTTCAAACACTGAGAAACAAAACCAGAAGTCATTACAACCACCCCAGAAAACCGAGGCATATAAATAACAAGTGGGACAGAACACAGACCCTTCACTGGAGGTGCACTGACGATGATACCTAGCAGTGTTACGAAACATCTGCAACCAAACACACCAGCTCGGCGAGCATGTCTACAATCTCATCCATCATCCAAGCAACAAATCTTCACGAAAACTTTAGACTGGCATTGCGTTAACAATGATCTTATTGTTATAAAGGTGCTTACCCTCGATTGCCAGACTTGAATTGTCTACTAAATTAGCTGCAACAAGTGATGTGCAAATTCAGAAAATGCTTAAAAATAACAGGGAGGCAAGGGTGAGGTACTGATGCTTTGTGTGAGGCAAATGGCAGTGCAACATGTGAAAGCAGTTGGAGTTGCACAACTTATTTATTTCTGCAACTAAGTCTGATTTTCCAGTAAAATAAAAAGAATATTACAGTTTTCTTTAAAAGCAGTATTCAAATGCACCCCCACATGTTCATCATTAGTTTATTTACCTTCGGAGATTGCACGCAAGATCTTTTATTCTTCTTTTTTGTTTACTTATCAAGTTGCTGCATATAATCTGAAGGTTTGAAAGCTCATCAAGTTTTTGTCTATATACTTTGTGCGTTTCCTAAAAAATAAAGATAGATAAAAATTATACACTCTACAGATTGATACATAAATAAAGGGTTAAGAAGAAAATCAGTGATGAAAATACAACTGCAATGTTTTTTAGTGTTTAAAAATAAAAGGAACTGAATTTAACCACCCATCATCTTAAAAGCTGTTTAGTAAAATCTGGTGGATGAACTTTAACTTCATTTTATGTTGTTAAGATGCAAGGACAAAATTATTAAAATAATTGAAAAAAGTGTGGAAAGAAATGTGTAAGACACAGGAAATATCTTGGTACTTTCTCCCCTGCCTAGAGAACTCCTCACCTCAGATACACTTCTTTCACTAAGAAGGGGTTAAGGACAACAAGTTTTAAAAGAACCCTTATTTAGATAACAGGTTAGCTTTACTGTCTTACTTTATCAGAGTTGCAATGTTCAAAAATTTAAACATTCAAATGCATTTGTTTGAAACATCAGGTTTTGCTCCAACTCCATCAAACCACCATGGTCATAAAGCATTATGCTAATTTCACATTTTGTTTTAAGTTTTTTTTAGTGCATATCCAACAGAACACTGTTCTCCTTGTACTCTCTTTCCAACTGGTAGTGATTTGATCTGAGGATCACTATGCTCAGGCAAAGGGAGAGGTTGGGATGGAGAGTCCTTTCACGGTAACCTCAGCCAGTGCGGAAATTGATTTCACACTGTTAGGAATACAAACCAGCTGTCCAGCTAACTGAGCTAACCAAACCCCACCACCTGTCCAATTTATAGTCGACTCGAGTGAGTTAATGACATCCTCACGGATTTTACCTCCTAGAGGTTAAGTTAACCAAACTGTAATATAATGTAAGTACTGGAGAAATGTTTTAGTCATTATGAAACACTAATCCCTCATCAAACAGTGAAACTGATAATCTAAATGGCATAAAACTAACATTTTTTATGGTTTCGGGGGTGCAGGGAGGGAATTATTATCATTGGAGTATATTTTTAAGGGAATAACATTTTCCTTTAGAACATTGTTGTCCGATAGAAAATCACGAGCTAGCCACAGGTGTAGCTATGGCAACATTGTTGGAACCACATGTACTAGATTTTGTACAAGCTTCTTTTAACTAAAAGTAACAAATACATGCAAAAAGTGAATTAAACTATTCAAAAACACATACCTCATCCTTCAATGAAAAATTTTGCAATCTTATCAAAGTGGGGTGTTCTGGCATGAATTTCAACTTGTAGGTTTTCTTTACTTCAGAGCGCTTAATGAAAATGCGGACTCATGTGAAATATGCTGTTCCAAATAATGCTTTCTATCTAGGACAATTGCCTATTAGCATGACGACCCCTATTAGAGAGGTCAGTTATTTGTTCAGTTTGCTTTCTGGCTTGGAGCAGTTATTCTGATTATTCAAGCTGGTCATGATGACAGGTCCACTCTCCATAAACAGTTGCCAGTTTTACCATCATACTGAAATCTGATGTTTACAGCCAGTCTACACACCATTTTAGGAAATAACTTACACGCAATAGCCAAATAAAGTGGACTTTCACAATATATTTACAATTTTATCAACAAATGCACAAAAGAGGTTGATGTACACAAAAATACCTGTATGCATGAGTAAAGATCACATTCCCAATAACAGTACCTAATAAAAACATAAATTGGGCATATCCAATGAGCAACTTGTATTATTCAATACACAAGCCACTAGCTACAACTTTAGTGCAAATTATGAGAAATATGAACACATACATCAAATAATACTTGATTTGAAAATTTAAAATTCTGAAAATAGTTGTTTACAATTCAGGATACTGAAGAACTAACACTGTTTTGAATTGCATAGCTGTGATTCCTTTGTTGCAATATTATACACTCTTTGAAAAAGGAATCTATTTCAGATAAATCACTTTGATTTGGTACATCACAAACAATACAAATTGACTAACTTAGAATTTAAAATTCTGGCACAGGTTCACTGGCATTAAACTGAACTTGTGTAAACAGTTTCACAGATCATTTCGTTCTTCTTACTGTACAAAACTTAATTCTCTGTCAAGGGATCTGGCAATTAGTGTAATAACATTTTAGACAGTTGATCACCGAACAACTTGTCTTTTAATACAGAAACACGCCAAAGAGTCGGTTCAGTATTTACCTTTAGAAGGCAATAGTTCCATGCATACTGCAAGCCCTATGCTGATTTAGCTTTCTTTGGTGATACTATGCAATCTATGTTTATTTTTATTGAGTGAAGTGGTCAGTTGACTTTTTTAATCATGGTCAACCATGACTACTCCCTTGATATATATTACTAAGAGAAGTACAACTGAAACATGAGTGTCAGAGTAGAACATGTAACTTTCCTTTAATATGTTAGAAAGAAGGGCCTTCTGCTATATTCATTTCGGAGTCCTGCTTTCCAATGGCCTTGATGAGTGTCAGTGCCAAATTGACAGAAATTGTCTGTTCAAACTACCAGACAGCCCAAACTCAAGAAGGACTCCCTTGTAGCTATCAGAAAGAGTTTTGCATAAAAATAGAATGGTTAGGAATACAGAATAGTCACAGCAAACGAGGAAGTCATAGAACAGTGCAAAATTTAATTTTCTAATTCTGGTGGAGTCCAATACAGCGCAGAGACAGATCCTTCAGTCCAAGCAGTCCATGATGTCCAAAATCCCAACTAAACTAGTCCCACCTGCCACCATTTAGCCTATAAACCTCCAAACATTTCTTATTCATGTACTTATCCAAATATCTTTTAAACATTGGAACTGTACCCGCATCCACAAATTCCTCTGGAAGCTCATTCCACACGCAAACCATTCCCTGTGTAAAAAATATGCCTCTCATTTCTTTAAATCTTTCTCCTCTCACCTTAAAATATGCCCCCAGTCTAGGGAAAAGACACCTGTCATTCACCTTATCTATACCCCTCATGACCTTATAAACCTCTATAAGGTTACCTCTCAACCGCCTACACTCCAGTGAAAAAAGTCCCAGTTTATTCAGCATTTCTTTATAAATCAAAATCTCCATTTCTGCAACATCCTAGTAAATGTCCTCTCTAGCTTAATAATATCCTTCCTATAACAAGGTGACCAGAACTGGACACAGTACTCCAGAAGAGGCCTCACCAACATCCTGTACAACCTCAACAGAATATTCCAACTCCTATACTCAAAGGTCTGAGCAATGAAAGCATACATATTAAACATCCTGTTAACCACCCTGTGTATATAGAACATAGAACAGTGCAGGAACAGGAACATGCTCTTCAGCCCATGATGTTGTGCTGAACATGAGACCAAATTAAACTAATCCCTTCTGCCTGCCCATGGTCCGTAATCCCTCTATTCCTTGCTTATTCATGTGCCAATCTAAAAGCACCTTAAGCAATGCTATCATATCTGCCTCCACCACTAAGCCTGGCAGCACAATCCAGACACCCACCACTTTTGAAAAAAAAAAAACTTGCCCCTCACACCTGCTTTGAACTTACCCACTCTAACTTTAAATGCATGCCCTCTAATATTAGACATTTCAACTTTGGGAAAAAGATTCTGACTGTCAACCCTATCTATGCCTCTTATAATTTTATAAACTTCTATCCAGTCTTCCCTCAGCCTCTGCCACTCCAGAAAAAGACAACCTAATTTTGTCCAGCCTCTCCTTATAGCTCATACTCTCTAATCCAAGCAGTATCCTGGTAAACAACTTCTGCACCCTCACCAAAGTCTCCGCATTCTTCCCAGAATTGAATTCAATACTCTAAGTGAGGCCTAACCAAAGTCTTATAAAGCTTCAACATCACTTATTCTTGTATTCAGTTCCCTGACCAATAAAGGCAAGCATGCCATATGTCTTCTTTATCACCCTACCTACTTGTGCGGCCACTTTCAGGGAGCTATGGACTTAAATCTCAAGATCCTTATGTACACCAATGCTGTTAAGGGTCCTGCCATTAACTGGATACTTCCCTTAACATTTTATCTTCCAAAGCTGATCTCCCACACTTGGCTAGATTAAACTTCATCTGCCACTTCTCTGCACATATCTGCAATTGATCTATATCATGTTGTATCCTTTGATAACCTTCTACGCTATCCACAACTCCCCTGATCTTTGTGTCACCTGCAAACTTACTAACCCACCCATCTACATTTTCATCAAAGTCATTTATATAAATCACAAAGCTGCAGTACGGATCCCTGTTAAACACCACTAGTCACAGTCCTCCAGCCACAGAAACACCCTTCCACTATTACCACCATGAGCAAGCCAATTCTGATCCAAACAGCAGAGTCACTATAGATTCCATGCATTGTAATCTTGTGGATGAGCCTACCATGAGGGATCTTGTCGAAAGCCTTATTAAAATCCATGTATACAACATCTACTACTTTACCCTCATCGATCACCCTTGTTATCTCCTCAAAAAAATAATCAAGACATGACCTACCCTGCAGAAAGCCATGCTGACTCTCCCTAACTAGGCCATGCTTTTCCAAAAACACATGAATCCTATTCCTAAGGAATCCTGTCCAATAACTTCTCGCCCTCCGATGAGAGACTCACTGGTCTATAATTTCTGGGATTATCCCTATTTCCCTTCTTGAACAGAGGAATAACATTAGCTACTCACCAATCCTCAGGGACTTCTCCAAAACTAGGGAGGATACGGTGACTCAGTGGTTGGCACTGCTGCCTCACAGCACCAGGGTCCCAGGTTCGATTCTGCCCTTGAGTGACTGTCTGTGTGGAGTTTGTACATTCTCCCCATGTCTGCATGGGTTTCCTCCGGGTACTCCCGTTTCCTCCCACAGTCCAAAGGTGTGCAGGCTAGGTGGATTGGCCATGCTAAAATTGCCCGCAGTGTTCAGGGATGTGTAGATTAGGGGGATGGGTCTGGGTGGGATGCTTTGTGGGTCGGTGTGGACTTGTTGGGCCGAAGGGCCTGTTTCCACACTGTAGGGATTCTATGATACAAGGATTTTGGTCAA